ATTTTTTTCATCTAAGAAGATATAGATATAAAGTATTTTATTACTTAAAAGTATAATTTATGTTATTTAAAAATATATTTAAGTTAAATATTACTATTTTGTAAACTTTCTTTTTTTATGAAACCATATTATATATATACTTATTTTTCGTTTTAAATTGTTTTGTAAATTTTATAAATATTTCCTTTTTATTTTATATTGTTATTTGGAAGATTTTAAAAATGAAATAATAATATTTAAATATATTTTTAATTCATTAGGGGTATCATAGTAATCAGCCAGCGTGAGAGTTAACGTGAGCGCGACACCTATGAAAGTGACTTCTCAAATAATATTATAGAGATTGCATCGTTTGATGTTGAAGTGGTTCATGGCAATAAAAGCTTCCTCCAACATACTTTATTATAGCATGTAAGATTATTCAACGGAAATTGGGATGTATAGCCAAACAAAAACATATAATTCACAGACTAGCCAATTTTCCTAACAGTCATATATAACCAAAAAACAATTAAAATTCTTTATTATTATCCATGAAAAGTAGATTGTGTGTTATTTTTTTTTTACATCTTTCTTTTATTTCTCTTGGTAATTTCGTCAAAGTTGTAAGATCTCCGGCACCGAGCGAAAAAATACCGTCACGTTCTCTTAATTATTTCAGATTTTAACATTTCCTTCGTGATTTATAATTTTTTGATATACTCCGCTTCAAAAATCAAGAGATAAAAAAACGATCGGGAGAAAAAGAGAGAGATAGAGAAAAAGTTATTCCATCTAATTCCTTCAATCTGCTAAGAAATTTTACTGGGTGTAGGAAGGAAGGAAGGAAGGTCGTAGATCTTCTTTTGCTACCACCTCTTTTGTTCCAGTAAGAAACGGTTTTTGTTTTAGCTTCTAGATTGGTTTATTTTCTGTTATAATATTCTTATTTTGATTCATGGATGTAAGTAGCTTTCATATCGTTGATGTCCTGGATCTGATTTCACATGTTTTGATATGGAATAGCATCTACGTTACATACAGGTTTCACTGTCTGGAGATGATATCATCTTCGTTAGGTATATTCCATTTGACTTGGAATAGAATAAAATATATACGTTTATATTCTATTTGACTTGGAATAGAATAAATTCGAATGTTCAATATCACCTTCTTTATCTTTTGAATTCATACTTGTATTTAAATTTACGTATTTTTATACTTGTATTAATGTTTATATTTTCGTATAAAAATATTATTTTTTATTTGGTGTAAAATTGTAAATCGTGGTCTTTGTAGAATCACATAACTTGTATAACGTGAGCGGTTTCTTCTAGGAGATAACTTTCCTTCTATTTTGCTTTGCCATCAAAAATAACTTCCATTCGAGGAGATACCCATCTGAAATAGCTTGCCATCAAAAATAACTTTCATTATATTTTGCTCACCAATATGTACTATTATATCTATTTTGTTCTATTCTATTTGGATTTATGGTCTATACTTGGGTTTATGGTTTAGTAATTATAATTTAGGATTTAGTATTTGGAAGGTGGGGGTTGAGAATTGGGTTTAGTGACCCTATCATGTATTGTTCCATTTGATGATTAATAAAGAGTGTTCTATTTTGCTCACCAATATGTACTATTTTATTTATTTTGTTCCATTTTATTTGGGTTTAAAATTTATACTTGGATTTATGGTTTAGTGATTAGGATTTAGGATTAGTATTTAGAAGGTGGGGGTTGAGGTTTGAGTTTAGTAATCATATCATGTATCGTTATATTTGATGATTAATAATGAGTGTTCTATTTTGCTCATCAATATATACTATTTTATGTATTTTGTTCCATTCTATTTGGGTTTAGGGTCTATATTTGCTCACCAATATGTATTTTGCTCACCAATAGTGTTTAGTCTTAGTTGATAGAGTTTAGTTTATTCTGAGATTTATACTATTTTACCATATAGAATAGCAATACATGGAGCTGAATGATATATGTAACATATGTCTCACCATTATCTATACTAGTTTGTTGTATGAAATAGAAGCTGCAAATAAATATGTTTATCTATGTGTGTGTACATATTGGAAGATTTTTTATGACTATTATAATTGATATGGAAGAGACTTATTTATATGATCAAACTATTCTACTTCAGTGGAGAAGAATGATATTACACGTATGTCTGTTGTTTTTGTTTGTGTGTGTACATATCGGAAGATCTGTTATGACTATTCTAATTGAAAGTGAACATATTGATTTATATGATCAAACTATTCTATTTCAAATTGAAAAGCATGACATTACACTTATGCCTTAACATTCTTTATCAACAATTGTGATGTCTGAAATATAGTTCATTTCATTATGTATTCAACGATTATGGATCCTAACACCTTTATCGTTTGATTTTGTTTTTTAGGTTACAAATAGAAGATTTAGTCTGTCAAGTAGATTGTTCAAAACTGAAGTTTAGCCATCTGGTGAATATCTTCTCATTTATATGTAATGATGTAATGTGTATATAAATGGAATAGATCGTGTGTATGTAAAATAGAAAGACTATTCATGTGAAATGGATTATAGGATCTTTAATATTTGTTGTATTCTATTCTATTTGCAGAACATAAAATATAAATATGATTGTACAATGCATAAGCAAAAGTTATGCTTTGTAGGGTTTAGTGATTAGTTGGTAAGATTTAATTTATGTACAATTGGGATTAACAGTGAGACAATCATTACCACCTTCCATAAAAGCATAACCATATCAACATCTAAGAAATATGTTAAGATGATCTTTATTATTTAAAGTAGGAATGAGACTGTTGTCATAATATATTTTGGTGAAATATAATAGAGTGACTGAAGTTGGTAAATGAAATACAAGATGTATTGGAAAGAATTCTATTTTACGCCACACATAACACAATAATTATATATGCGATAAATAATAAAGGGGAAAATCGCATAAAAAACCTTCAAAGTGATATTTACTAGCACTTTAAACCTTGAACTTTTTTCACTAGCACTTTAAACCTTCAAAGTGACATTTGTGTCACAAAAAACTTGAACTTGAAAATCTGACCTGTTGAACAGGTAAAACAAGTCATTTATCAAATTTTTTCTAAAATAAATATTTAATAAATAAAAAATTAATAAATAATCAAAAAAATGAATAACAATCAATTAAATTTGCAAAATAATAAAGAAAATTTCAGAACATAAAGAAAATTTTATAAATAATTTCAAATCCAAAAATTAAATAAATTCTGAAAATTAAAAAAAACATTAACGAAAATTCAAAAAATTAAACTTTTTTGAACATTAATTTGATTTTTATTTATTTTTTGATTATTTATTAAATATTTATTTCACGAAAAACCTGATAAATTACCTATTTTATTTATTAGTTTTTTCAGAGAAATAAATATTTAATAAATATATATATATATATATACATATAATAAATAATAAAAAAAATAAAAATCCCTTGAGTTTTCAAAAAAATAAAGAAAATTTCAGAGCATAAAGAAAAACTTATAAAAAATAAATTGAGATACCCAAAATTAAATAAAATTCAGAAAATTAAACAAAAGTTTAAGAAGATTCACAAAATTGAAAACTCAAAATTTCAAAATAGTTTTTTGAAAATTACAAGATTATGTTTTTAATTATTTGAAACCATCAATTTTCAACAGTAATATGTTTGAAATTTTGTTGTCAACGATGATATGTCAATTTTATTGGAAAATTTCATAAAAATTACAATTTTTTTTTTTAAATATGAAATATTATAGTTGAGAATAAAATTTTCAAGTATATCACTATTGACGATGATGGTTCATACATTTTTCAAAATTTTTAAATGTTTCTTTATGTTCTGAAATTTTCTTTAATTTTATTAAAACATGTAATTTAGTTTTTGATTTTTATTTATTTTGTGTTCAATTTTTGTGAATTTTCTTTAATTTTTGTTTAATTTTAAGAATTTTATTTAAATTTTGTTATTTGACATTATTTTTATAATTTTCCTTTATGTTCTGAAATTTTCTTTAATTTTTTTTTTTGAAAATTTAATTGCTTTTTATTCGTTTTTGATTATTTATTAAATTTTTATTTATTAACATTTTATTTTTCAGAAAAAAAAATTGATAAATGACTTGTTTTACCTGTTCAATTGGTCAAATTATCCAGTTCAAGGTTTTTTGTGACACAAATGTCAATTTGAAGGTTTAGTGCTAGTGAAAAAAGTTTAAAGTTTAAAGTGTTAGTAAATGTCACTTTGAAGGTTTTTTATGCGATTTTACTAATAATAAAGTGACGTGGTTCTCTTTTCTTTCATAAATTACCACTAGTTCACTTTTATCTTGGACCACATAAATCACACTCGATGTAATCTATTTCTTTACTTCACCAGCAACTTGTTACAATAAATGGTAGAACCGGATCATATAAGTGCTAAATGTCATTGATTCAACTACGTCAAAATCATAGTCAGTTACCTAATTATACCTTCAATCTTAGCTATCTCGCAAATTAGCCCATTATTCAACATAGACCAACTGGTGATACTTCGATAGAGACCATCAACATTGACCAGAAAGTTAGAAATGTAATCATATAAACCCACAATATTGATTACTAGAAAGTATGAGTGATGTCCTTGAAAGAATGTAATTATAGAGCAAACCTTGATAGTTTTCTTCTCTACAAAGTATTTGTTTTAAACATCTCAGTACGTATAGTCTGATCACAATTTTGATTGCACCAAAACAATATCAATGTATAAATTAAACTAAAGAATGCAATTCTCGGTTCTTCTCTGCATAATCCTCACTGAATCATCTGGATTTCACTGTGGCATGATCAGTATCAGCTAAATGCTTGAATAGTTTTGTCCTGGCCAAGGTAGAGAAGTAAGGATTCTTTATACATATGAATTGGTGTGTTAACAACATATGAATGATACAAACTATACTGCTAGAGAAATGGATATGACATAAGAACAGTTATTTAATGGACCAACCTTGACTCAAACTCCTCTCCACATCTACCACATTCATTTTTACTAGCTTTCTTCGATGTGCCCTACATTTTGATATACATAATGTCATATGATTTCAAGAACTAACACACCAGAAACTATGATCTAGTGAGGAAAGAGTGATTGTACCTTGGACTTCATTCCTCTTGTTGATTTCTTTGATCTGGGAGCCTTCTTGTGTTCTATATACTCACTTGGATTCTCAAACGTTACTGCATGAGATTCTTCCATGTCTTCATTTCTATCTTGAGTATCATCAGCATCACTGATCTTCTCCATTAACTCTCCACGGTTGTTCTTGTCCTTACCCTTCTTGCTTCTGCGTCTCCTCCCTGTGCTCTTCCTGTTATCATACTCCATTGGAGCTGCCTCATCCTTCACAATGTCATCAGTGTTTAACTCTACTATGTTGGCATCTCCAGCATTCTGTTTAGTTCTCTCCTTCTCAACTACAACTTCATCTTCTTTTCTTGACACAACATTCTTTAGCTTAGTTTTCTGCTCAGATACCATCTTCTTGAGTAGACTCATCTCTTCATCATCATCCTCACTTTCACTAGACCCTTTCACATTCTCCTCTGTCATAACATACTCATCATCAGTCTCATCAGCTTCTCTTACAACTTCCTCCTCCTCAACATCCTCTACTTCGGCTTCTTCGTCGATATTAAACCCTTCCTGAATCTTACCATAGAGCTGCTCTACAGTTTCAGGTGCCACAACTCTCAACTCTGCCACTATCTCTTTGTGCTTCTTAGACTGCTCATGGTTCTTCCACTGCTTCTCACTTTTGAAATTCTTGCTACAAACAATACAATAGAACACCATACCATCATCATCATCATCACCATCATCCTCTTCCACTACACTGAACCTTCCTGCCTTAGCCTTTGCCCAATCAGGTTCCTTGTATTTCATAGCTCTCTCCAACCTCTCCAACCTCTCCTTATCCATCTTCTCCTTCCTCTCTCTCTCCCTCTCCCTCTCCTCAGCCTCCTTCACCTCCACCTCCACTCTCCTCTTCGCCATCATATCCTCCACTCTCTTGTCTATCTTCTTCACAAAAGCAGCCAAGTCTCTCACATTTTCGTTATACACTCTCTTCGCATTCTTCCTCGCCTTGTTATTCTCCTTCTTTATCTTCCTCCTTATCCAACCATCAGATTCAGCCATCACATCATGTTCATCCACCCAGCAGAAATCCATAACAGTGCTAAACCCTAACCAGTGACTATAAAACTCCTTCACCTGAGCGTACGGACTCTCTAGACTCCCCATGTCTGGAGGAGCCTCCATTTCTAACCCTAACTTCCTCGCGAAGTTAACCTCGTGGAGGTAAACATTGTTGAACACATCGGAATAAACCTTGTAGAATCCTTTACCGGTGTCAGAGTAACCGGAGTATACCTTGGTGGAGAAGAAAGGGAGGAGCTTCGGAACCTTGTCGCTAGACATTTTACAAGATTATGAAGATTATTGTATTCAGTTATCTATTCTCAGCCGTCTACAATAGTTTGTCTAAACCTATTTATATGAAGATAAGCATGTAAATAAGTGGGGGTTATTGGTTCTAGGATTTTATAGATTTAGAAATCCTTTTTGGATTTTGAAATTTTTGACAAATCCACACATTTTAGAATCAAATACGTAGATTTAAGAGTTAATGAAATAGATTTCAAAATCAAGGAAATGGATTTGTGATAAACACAGCTTTGTAACAATAGAAAATATATATAAAACTACAACATAT